AACATTCTAAAATCCATACAGCAATCTATCAAAGGTAGATTGAAAGTAAAAGACATGCATCATTCCTGAACAAGGAAAGAACAAAAGCAGGATTTAAAGGTTAGCTTGACCTGTTTAAGCATGCTAAATTCTCTGTTATACTGTGAAAAACCTGTAAGGGGTTATTCATCTTGGCTCCTGTTGCAGATACTCTACATGTCAGAGCATGCAGAGCTGAAGTGCAGACAGGGATGCACACACAGTGGCAGCACCTGGAATTCAGCAGGTCCTCTTCCCAAGTCTTTTTTCCTAGTGTATTCTTGAGCCCTAGCTCCCACAGCCAGCTTTGTCACCATTGTTTCCTCATCTGAGTAACAGGTTTTAACAATAATCCACTACTGGAAACATGGAGAGCAGGTAAAGAGTCTGTCTTCACAGTTTCACCAGTTTTCAGAGTTGATTATATTCAGGTGGGGGTGCTTTGCCTCCCACCCCTCCACCTAAGGCATGCAGGAGCTCCCAGAATTTACAACAGTGCATTATTAGAGATACCCAGTTCACATATTTTAAAACACCTACCCAAAGAGGTTACTTAAAGCTATTTTTTTTTTCTGTTAGCAATGGGAGCATTTAATATGTTTCCACAGTATTAAAATTCAACATTCTTTATAGTAGACTGATTTTTATTATTTTAATAAAAATTGGACACCATACAAGAAAATGTAAACGTGGTCTTACCGTGTATAGCCATGAATGGCTGCATGATTTGCATGTAGATACAGAGATAATCACAGAGTTTATCCTGCATTCATCATACAGACAGTGAAAACCAGAACAGACCAGCAGATCATTTGGACAGAATGTTTCTGTGTCTGGAACAAAGTGCTAAGTTAAAAAAAAAAAAAACAAAAAACAACACTTGAAGATTGTCTTCTGCATTGCTTTAATTTATATGAAAATTTAAACTATCATGTAAGTTTAAAAAGAAAACCAGAACATGAAAGTTTAAGGGTGTGAGCATGTGAATGCTGAATAAAGCTTTCAAAAAGGAATTCAAGGCAGCATTTCATTGCCTATGTATTTTTATGGCACTGTTTTAAGGATTCTGATGGTGTTTCTTCAAATGAAGCTAAGTCCCGAGGAAAGCAGAAGGTGTCCTTTGGGGGACCTGCTCAATCTCGCCATATGAGGAAGCAGATGGAACTTGCAGCTTGTTCTTTCACTTTGTGGGAAGATATTTTTGGTAATAGAAAAGAATTCTGGTATCTGTGCTATTGCTCACTTGGTGTATAATCTTTAGCACATCATAAATACCCTTCCAAGGCTGCTTCCTATGAAGTGCTGGGTATCTTCATGCAATATTGAGACAACATAGCAATATTTCACAGATGAAACATAAATTTCCCTCTCAGTAAAGACATAAAATATTAAAAAAAAAAAAAAAGGAAAGAAAGATTATAGCTACTGCATGGAGTCTTACTCCATGTTATTCCAACTTCTTGGACATCAACTGGAGTCAGGCCACTCAGAATCTCGTAAAAGGCATCCAGTGTATCTGGCCAAGGGGCTTTGTGAAAATTATTTAGGATGGGATCCATCTCAACTGACTTAATTAATAACCTTAAATTTCAGTGTCTGAAATAATCGTCTGGGTTTTCCTAAGGACGGTGGGGTGACACGAGCATCTAAAAATGCCACTTTATTTCTTGCTAAGGTGAGAGCCTTAGGGGTATAGAGACTCAAAAGCTGTCAAGCAGTACAGTTACCTCAGGTTCTCCCTATGACTCTGCATTCCTTTCAGGTGTCACATTTTCAGTCTGGGGGAGCTGAATTACTGGTGTACTGATTTTCAAAAGCAAGCAGTTCTGTTCACTGTCATATGAAGCAAGCTTTAACCTCCTGGAGGAGGATGGGGAGAAGTTTCCTTCCTGATTCCACATGATCGGCATGTCACCCCGCCCCAGTCTGGAGACCCCAGTAGAACCATGGAGAGACTGAAGCATCGCTCAATCCTCGCAAATTAACGTGAGCCTCTCAGTCAACTCATATGAATATCAGCCACAGGAATAGCTTCCTTATGGTAAGTTATGTACCAGTTTGAGCCCTTTAGCCAAGATGATAGATTTTCAAATACTGTTTTAACTCAGAAGTTTTGCATCAACTTTGTGCGAAAAGTCCAGTAAGGTGAAATTGTATGAGCTGTGCAATGCAAATTCAGAAATTAATCAACTGTAATAGCCAAAACTGACCTGAAATACATCAGGGGTGTTTTTCTCCATTTTGCTAGTACAGATTACAAACGCATCCAGGAGATCCATTCAGTGTAAGTGTATTCACCAGAAAGTATGATTTCCTTTTTGCAGTATGCCTCTGAGGAAAATTGTTTTATTTAAACGAGAAGAGAGCAGATTTGCAAGTATTTTTCTTCCTCTTGCAAGCTTAAGCAGGCTTACCCAGTGCAATTTACTATGGGAATAATAGGAAGCAATAGGAAAATATTTGTTATTTATTATTTGTGTTACTGGCATATTTAAGCACCTGTCAGGGAGCACTCCATAAACAGAACAAAATCATGTTCCCTGCCCCAAGTGGTAACCTGGTGTGCAGAGCAAGAGGCACAGACCCAGCCACGGGAGAATCACAGACAGCCAGGAGCTGCCAGGACAACTCTGGTCAGCATGACAAGCAGAACAGTGCAATTGCTCTTAATTGCAGGATTACATTAAATGGTTATAGGGATGCTCAGTAAATGTTCAATAAATATTTTTTCTATGATTTATCTCAGATTTTTTGCTAGTATTTTCAGTTACCTGTTTTAAAAAGCTATCTCCTTTTGGAAACTGCCTCTTACTGATCACAGCATTTCACTTGTCCAGTCGGCCAATTTGTGGTTGGTCTTCTTTCTTTGCCTTTTTCAAGGAATTTTAATAGATTAGGAGAACATGACTTTACAAAATGCAGGATATCTTTACCTATCCACTTTCCTAAGCACTATACTAAGGCATGTGTATCTGGAATGCACATACTTTTTAACACACTAAAAACTCCTCCAGTGTAGTGCCAGTGTTTTTCTAACTCAACATCAAAGCATTAACTTCCCAAACTTCTGGAACAACTTGTGAGTCTTAAGATCTCACTTGTATCACTGTTACTTCAGCCACTCCGTATTTCCTTTTCTCCATAATCTTCATGCCCCTGCCTGCCACCACAGCCCCAGACAGGGAGAGGAGAACAATCCTTCAGAAATCATTATTTTAGCTTATTAATCCCCAGATTCCTAGGCTGATCTTCTTAACACTTCATACTGGATTCATCTGTTCATTTCCCCGGTGGGTTTTGACAGCTGTAAGATTTCTGCTGACTTTACCAAAAAAAAAGGAAGCTAGTTGATCAGGAAAGCAGGAGAGAAGGAGCATAACTGATATACAGGGAGAAGGAAGTCTTGTGTAAGCAGTTATGAGAAGGGTAAGGAAAGTCCAAATGAGTCACAAAGTGCTAAGCTTCACATTGCTAAAACTGCTTATTTGAATATACTGATATGTCTCCCAGTTAATTCGACATTATTTGACTATCTCAGTCACTTCCTAAGGACCAGCGGCCAAATACAGCCCCTATACAGCTCCCACCGTTCATCTCTTCCTCAAATCTCTGTCCATGGAGTACCCAAGCAAGTCACCCATCTACAAAATAGCATTTGTACTACCCATAGTGTTCAGGCATGCCAGGGCAATTTTGGGTCAGCCATAGTGACCGGAACAGGTAAATACTTTACATGCAGATAGATATTTAGGCTGCTTTTCCTCACCACAATAAAGTTTAAATCTCAGACTTAAGCTGTCAATTTATGGCCCCCTTTTTTTTAATGATTATTAGTATTTAAGAGCTCTACAGATTCTGGTGGGTTTGTTTTGCGGAGTTTTGATGGTGTGCTTGTTTGTTGGTTTGCATTTCTTTGCTGTAGCTGTTCGGGTTTTGTTTGTTTGTGGGGGGTTTGATTAGGTGGGTGTTTTTTTTTCCTGTACTTTTCTGGAGCTCGTTCCGTGTATTTTGTTTCTGGTGTTACTCCCCCCTTTCCGTGGAAAGGCGGGCGAGCCCCCTCGCCGCACCCGGGCCCAGGGTGGGCTTCGGGCGGGGCCGCGCAGGGCCGTCCCGGCCCCCCGTCCTGGGAATCCCTTGGGATTTCCCAGTCCTGCACGGCCCGAGCGCGCTGAGTGGGGACACTACAGAGCACAGCACCGAGCAGCCAGGCTCTGGCGCGGTGCCCCCTGCCACGGAGTCGGAGCGGGCACAGGTACGGCGCTGCCAAGACGGGTAGGGGGGCGCGGGGCTCTCCGGCTGTCCCCGCAGCCGGCTCTCCCTCCACAGAGCTCCGCGAGCAAGCCTCGCCGCGCCACTCGCCGCGCCACCCGCCGCGCTGAGGGGCTCTCCACGTGGGGCGGCTCCGCTCGGCAGCAAGGTGAGCTTCTGGCAGCACCGCCTCAACTGGGGGGCGAAGGCAGCGGGGCGCCGAGCGGACCCTCCTGGCGGGGCGTGGCCGGCGGCTCCCCCCCGGCCGGGCCGCGGTTGGTTTCTCCTGTCAGTGGAGGCAGGGCCAGGCGCGGCGGGGGTGGGTGGTGGAGTTGGGGGCAGTCAGTGGCGGCTGTTTTCCTCCGGGGGAGTTTGTTCCGGGCGCGGGGCGGAAGGTGAGCACGGGGCACAGTGCCGTGGCGGGGTTTGCGGGCGGGAGTTTGCATCGGTCGTGGCGCGGAGCGGGGGGAGAGCCCTGGGACAGGAGTGGTGGGACGCGGCGAGTTAAACCCTTCCTTCCCCTCCGTGCTTCGCCAGTGGAGACACCGGCCAGGTGGGAAGGCGGCGGCGCGCGTTGGAAGTGGGGGAAAACTTATTCCTTGGCGGGATCCCCCGCTCCTCCTCGGGGCCGGGACCGCTGTGGGGAGCCACTTGCCGGGGGCTGAGGCGCGGGGCTGGGGAAGGCGGGTGAACGAGCAGAGCCACGCCGCCCCACCGCTGCCCTCTTCCTTTCTTCCCCTACCGCCAGGTCTCGCTGAGAAAGCGGAGCCGAGCCAGCCCCGGAGGGGAAGCGCCTGTCCCCGGACAAGGGGCTGCCAGGAGCAGGCAGCGCCCCAGCGGGAGCCGATTCCCGCCTCTCCTCGTCTCGCCTCGCCGCGCCGCCCGGAGCCGAAGGCGCCCGGAGGGCAAAGTTGTGTGCGGGGCCGGCGCGATGCCGGGGCGCGGCGCGCTCTGCCTGGGGCTGCTGCTGCACGTCCTGCTGGGCTGCGGCTCGGCGCAGCAGCCCGGCAGCTGCCCGGACCTCTGCAAGTGCTCGGAGCCGGCCAAGACAGTGAAGTGCGTGAACAGGAACCTTGCGGCGGTACCGCCCGACCTGCCGCCCTACGTGCGCAACCTCTTCCTCACCGGCAACCGCCTAGCCCGCCTGCCGCCCGGCGCCTTCCCCGCCCAGCGCCTGCCCGACCTCAGCGCCCTCAACCTCAGCGGCAACCACCTGCGGACCGTGGAGGCAGGCGCCCTTGCCCTGCCCGCCCTGCGGCAGCTGGATCTCAGCGGCAACCCCTTGCTGTCCCTCAGCCCGCACGCCTTTGGGGAGGGCGGGAGCCCTCTGGAGGAGCTGTCCCTCCGTGGGGCCCTGCGTGACCACGGCGTCCTCCTCAGCCTGGCCACCATGCTGCAGTCCGGGACACTGCGCAACCTCAGCCGCCTGGAGCTGGCGGACAACGGGTTGCTTCTGCTGCCCCCCGGCATGTTCACGGCCCTGCCCGCCCTGCAGCAGCTGGACCTCAGCAACAACTCCCTGGTGGGCCTGGGAAACGTCTCCTTCCAGGGGCTGAGCCAGCTGCAGAGCCTCAACCTCAGCGACAACTCCCTGGGCATTCTGAGGAACGACACCCTGGCCCAGTTCCGTGGCCTGCCCGCCCTTCGGCGCATCAGCCTGGGCCGCAATGCCTGGGTCTGCGACTGCACCATCGAGGACCTGGTGGCCTGGCTCAAGGAGAGTGATCAGGTGGAGGGCAAAGAAGCCCTGACCTGTGCCTATCCCGACAAGATGCTGGGCAAAGCCCTGCTGAAGATCAGCAGCTTGGACCTGAACTGCTCTGTGCCCATAGACCTGCCTTCCCAGCTACAGACTTCGTATGTCTTCCTAGGGATAGTCTTGGCTCTCATCGGGGCCATTTTCCTCCTGGTTTTGTATTTGAACCGAAAAGGAATCAAAAAGTGGATGCATAACATCAGGGATGCCTGTAGGGATCACATGGAAGGCTACCACTACAGATACGAGATCAATGCAGACCCCAGGTTAACAAACCTCAGCACCAACTCAGATGTCTGACAAAGCGCCGAGGGCACGGGGCAGCGCACAGTAGCTATGCATGAAAAGTAGACTTACGCTTTACCCTCATGCTTGGTTCCCTCTCCACAGAGAAATCTCAAGACGTGCGTGTAACCTGAGGGGGACATGCCTTCCTGTGCTGTCGAGTTCATTTTTGTTTTGCGATGCTGGGCAGCTGCACATGGCGTTGGACTGTCCGTAGGAAAGAAGCTGCTACTTCTTTTTCCCCCTTAGCCATTATATTTGTGGGAAATTCTTTTTCAAGATGTCAAAGAAAAAAGGATTCTCTCTGGTGCTTCAAAGCCACCAGAGTTTTATTAAAACGTTACTGATGCAGACACCATTCAACAAAAGCTGTCTCAACTTTTTGGGGAAAAAAATGTTATGTTTCTCTGTGCCAATTTTGATGTTGTATATCCAAATTGTGATGACAATGGTTTCATTTCATAGGCTACATTAAGATTTAAAAAAAAAAAAAAACAACAACAAAGAAGATCCTTTTAACGAGAACTCTTGTTACAAAGAAGGAAATTGAATAGTGAGCATGCCCAAATACTTTGTAGTTTTACATGTTAGGAAACTTACAATCTCAGTAAGTCTCTTACTATTTTGTAAAGTTATTTTTGATTGCAGTTTACATGAAAAGAGAGGTTTTTTTTTATACAGACTGCACCTAAACTCCATCTGAACTATTCAATAAACAGTCTTACAAGAACTGTTGTGTGGAAGTTTGCTGTTCGATAAGAAATGTCTATACATCTTAAGAATGTAGATAGCTTTATAGTCTCTGAATTAATAGCCCTGCAGTAGTAATCTGAATAAAGTTTTATATAAATGTGTATCTTAGAGACATGTTTGACAGTTTTGTGAAATATACTAGGAGAATTAGCACTGATCAATGAGGAGATCTGTTTCACTTGGCGCAACCCCTCCCCCCCCCCCCTCTTGTTTGCTCTCAAAGCAGCTGCAAAACATGGAGACAGATGCTAGGGTCCACCTTATTGTGAAGGTACAAGCTGATAGAATTTTCATAATATCTTTTCTACCAAAGGAAAAAAAAAACCCAACCAAATTAAATTCCAAATTAAGTTGTAGAGTTTGTAAGCTAAAGAAAATTTTACCTGAATGGAATTGTTTATTATAAAACCCCATAACCCCATACTTACATGTCTTGAACTAAATTAAATGCAGCTCAGTCATGTGGTCAGTGAGCTTTGGGCTTGTAAATCAATGCAGCACTTATCCAAGTGCTTACTGATTCATTTTAAGCTCTCGGTCCTCTTGACGTCCTGTAGTGATCTACATCGAGGATTTGGGTGGGACTTTATCTTAAATATTTTAACAGGTGCATTTTATATTGTATGTTACTCATTACTTGCTTGGGAATGCATTTCCTTGTAAACAGATAAAGCATGCAAAGAAAAACTTAAAAAACCTATCATTTAATATGCAACTCTGATGGCATATGAAAAGGTTAGCAATGGCCACCAGTAATAAATGCACTTTTTCTAACCCATTTATAGATTCTTAATGAAAAGAAAATACACCAACTGTAAAAGTGTGATGTGAGTTGGTAACTTATCAGTAAATCTGTGGAGCGTTTTCCATGGTCACTGTTACTTGAAGCTCTTGAGCATCTCTGAAATTTTATGAATTACTGGTTAATTGCTTTCAAAAGTGATGTTTTTTTCATAGATACACATCTTTGGTAAGAGCTCATAAATATAAAATAGTCCTTAAAGTATCAGAAGAAATGTAATCCATTTTGGGCGTCCGTATTACTCAAATGCAATTTTCTCTCCTTGCAGCTTCAGACAAAGCAAGTAGCACAAGTTGGTTCAGGCTAATTTTCTATTGCTTTAAATTGGCTTTATTTAATAGCAGTGGGTTTTGGTTTTGTTTTTTTTTTAAGTGGTTTTGTACATATGCCCTCAAAAGTAAAAAAAAGAAGAACTACAATTACTGTTTTGATAAATCAGTGTATTCTACAGTTAATGTAAGTTAAGTGCTAGCCTGTTTCTCTTGCTGTAATTTAAATGTATGAGCAATATCTGGTTAACAGCATATGAATTAAGTTTGTGAATTCTTAAAAAGCAGGCTGCTGGTCTGAATGTTGGCTGCTCGTATTTTATGCACAGTGTAAACCCCCCAGTGTGAATAACTATTACTGTGGAACTATGCAAACTGTTCATACTTTGTATGCATATATGGCAGATAGTTTATATAAGAAGCTAGAATTTACAATAGCTATGCAGTGTGCTTTCAGTCATTTGAGAGATTATCAATTTACACTTATTTGTGCAGTGCCAAGAGGAGTAGAGCATCATCCTTGCTTAAGATGCTCCTGTAATATAATAGATAAAATATGTATAAAGCAAGACATTTCTTGGGCAATTTCATGGGTTTTGTTAACAGGTACTTTAAAGTAACTACAGTAAAAGCAATTATTCGTGATGTATTAATGTAACGGCCATGCATTTACAGAGCTGTGCAAGGGCAGGCAATGACTTTTATTGAGGTGTCTCACCAATTGACTGAGTATTTGTAATAGTGAGCAAGTGTAACTGTTGTACTTCACCTATTATTATAAAGATTGTTATTATTTTTGTATCATAGAAAGTCAATGTAATAGAATTTTATTAGAGCCCTGGTGATGGCTACTTTAAAATATTTTTTTGCCATTTGCTTATATGTGTATTTATTAGGATGTAACAGTTAGCATGTATTGTGTTGGATAATGTTTTCCTACAGTGTTTAAGCAACAGTGAATGCTTTGGTATTTTGTATAATGCATTATTTGATCTTAAATCCCCTTCCATAAATAGTGCTTGCAATTTGTTTCCTTTCCTTTTACAATATAGTTAACAGTGGAACTTGGCAGGAATTTAGAAAGTAGCTCCCACAGTGCTTCAGATCTTGGTTAAAAACTATAGAATAGCATTAGTTTAAGGGATCTTCTGAAGCACATTTTATAATGTTACGCTGCTTTGACACCTGAATTCTAACAGATTATTATTTCCAGAGCAGCTTTATTAGCAAGGCTGTTTTATTCATTCATTCTTCAATAAAACACATGCAGTACTAAATGCCTCTAAACTGTGTTTTGTATACATAAACCCATGAAGTTCTGCATGACAGTTGTTATGGATGATTCTAAGAAAACATCTAGCCTAAAGTAGTGGGCAAATCTTCAGTGAAGGCTGCACAGCTAAGAAGCAGAAAGGATAGTTTGCCCAATTTTCAACTGTTTTCTTAAAACTAGTTTTAGTTATAATAAGCTTAAAATTTTCTTAGAAGAATAGCACAAGAAATTGCCATAGTTTTAATATATTTTCCTAAAATACTTTAGGTACAGCAAAGCTGTTGCCAGGTGAGAAATAGAAAATTCCCTAAATCTTTATCCAAGGTTGCTTTATATTAGATCATCCGACACTTTTTTTTTTATTTCAGCAAGCCATAATATTACCAATGATTTTGACATCCAGAAAGGGATTCAAAGTTTTGCACAACTGCTTTGAATCTTTTCATTCAGGGTAATTTACCTTGTGAGCACTGGTGACAGTCCCCAATGACATGCCAGCTAGCGAAACAGTCTGTTCAGACCTGTATTCAGTTGTTGACTGAGATGTCACTGAAGACAGGCATGGCAAAATATTCAAAATATGACTGCACTACAATCCCAGCTCTCATTATTCTCTCAGCATTTTCCCCGTGTTATGCTCTGCTCTTTATGCATCTGTATAATTCCTTTTTTTGCTTCATTTTCTTAAGAAATCCATTAAAAGGAGTATCCTGAACCTGTACAGGTGGAGAAATCGGTCTGACTGCACCTGAATTTTGAGGTTCAGCATCTTCATTTCCCCCTAAGCCTTAATGTGAAAAAGAGTCTTTGTCAAAGTGGACAGAATGAAAATTTGATATGAACTTTTTTTTTCTCTTTAGCAGCTGAATGTTCAAGAAGAACCATTCATTCTCAGCATATGATGAAGGAAAATAGGATTTGGTAAGAAAAACATTTTGGTTTCAAGCTTCCAAATGACATTTATATTCTCTGAGAGAAAGTGAAAGGGAAAGTCTTATAAATGAAACAGAGATAACCGTAATGGGTCAGCACTGGAAATCACCACACTATTGCTTGCTCAGTAGCAATTGCTGATTGATTCTGTCTGTTGCAATCTGGTCATTTTTCACAGATACAGCTCTAATTTCTTCCTGTTGCTATAAATAGAAAGATTTTGCTAACAAGTGGTGTCACGTCCTATACTATTTGTAATGCAGGTGTTTCCACTCTGAGGTTCTTGTGAGCTATAATAGAAGATCAAATTTAATTCAGCATCTGCTGAATTAATAATGACTAGATCAGGCCCATAACTTAATGCTCTCTTTTTGCTGACATGCTGCTTACCAGTTGCAAAGACCCTGTCTTGAAATCAAACAAAGGCCCACCAAGGAAGACAGCATTCTGTCTGGGGGGTGTAACATTTATTAGATATTTCAGATGTGCTTAGAAAAGAGACATAAACCATGTGGGAGCTGAGGGTTCTTTGCTGATACAGGAGTAAATACTCAGCTTCAAGAGTCAATACAGCAGAAGCAGAAAAGTGGTGCTTTGTACCAGCACAATAAACCTAATAGCTCTCTTCTCCCAGCTTGAAAAAAACCACCAAGCTTTTAGGAGTACAGGTTTGCAGTATAAGTATGTCCTTAAAAAGGGCTTTTGCTTTCTCAGCTGTGTTACAATTTACGTGTTGTCATATCCTTGGAAAACCTTGCTATGCCAGAAGTCATCTGTCGCGTAGGCAAAGCTTGAAATCAGGCCTTGCATTCCCAGTGTTAGCCTGAGGGAAGAAGGCAACTATTAAGAAAATTAAAATGGTACTTTAGATGGTGTATTATGTTACAGTTAATAATTTAATACTTGCAATTATTTATATTTTTCAGTGTTCACTAGATAGTTTTTCCTTTCTTATAGAAAAGAATAACAATAACAAATTTGTGTTTTCTAGTAATTGTGCATGAAAGCATCTGAATAAATTAGAAATGTTGTTCGAATACATACAGAGCTGAAAATGTTAGAAATCTTGTGTTTTAGAATGTTTCACGATTGTAGAAGTTCTAGATGTGCAAGAAACAGCTGTAACTTTTTCAGATTAAAGTTTTGTTTCTTAATTAAAAATTATTCTTGAAGAAAAACACAATAAAATATTTATCAGATCGCATAGAAATTTTATTTGTTCACCCTTGATTTTGTTATTGTATATCCTTAGAGATACTGAGAGCTTTGCTAAAGGTGTGATTGTATTCTTTTTAGATCAAATTGGTGATTATTCTGTGAATTTGCATGATAGAATGGTAAAAAGCGTCTTCCCTCTAGATAGCCTGATTAATTTCTTTAGAAACAAATTTTGTCAGTGAATATAAGGGATTGTGTTTTAATAATTTTTGTTATTTTGGATGTGATTTGATAGCTTTTTCA